CCGTAATTTTTTTTTTTTTTTTTTTTTGCATAGTTAATAGGAGTATATTTTACTAAATTGTTGTAGCACGTAGTTTGTCTTATTGTTTAGGTTGTTGCCTCCACTTTGTTAATAGACGGTGATTACGTGCAGTTATTTTTTAGGTGATTTAATAGCATTAAAAATAATTACATTATGAGTGTATAGAAGTTAAACTTGTGCAAATATGTTGATAATATTATACACAACAATACATATTGCTAGAGGATCCAATTGATATTTGTATGGAAATACAAATAGTGAGATCGAATTCATGAGTATCTTATAAAGTAGTAGTCATAATTCATAAAACTTTCAAGATGGAAGTTATCCTACGTATTCTTGATATAGTTGTTCACTACATAGGTTATTATTTTCACTTGTAATGACGGTTACTCTTACTTATTTTTTAGGTGATATGATGCGGAAAATATTTTTTTATATTATCGATGTATAGTAAGTTAAACTCGTGTATACAGTTCAAGTTATTCTACATCCATTATCACAAAAGAATAGTGATTATAGTAATATTTAGACTTATCTGAATCATGATTAATTCCACTTGTGAAATTCCACTGAATATGTTATAATTATCTGGATCATGATAGAATGTAAAATCATCTAAGATGTTATTGATAATATTGTTGACAGGTGAGAATTCTTAGGAAGGAATCTTACTGGTACAAGGGCACAGGTTCAGTTGTAGCTTGTGATCAGGTAATTAAGAAATTTAATATAAAATCTATATCGATTAAACTTAAAAATGATGTTTAACTTTTAATGTTTTCCATGTTGTTGTTAATGTCTCAGGATCCAAATACTCGTTACCCAGTTGTTGTACGATTTAACAAAGTGAATTATGCTAATGTTTCAACCAACAACTATGCATTGGATGAAATCGAAGAAGTGAAATGAGAGTGTGTAGTATATTTGTAGAATGCAAGGCCCTTTGGTTTTCATGTTTATTCTCTAGTTATATATATACTGCTTTGATTGTGAATGATTGTCTATTATAGTTTGTGGCAATTCGCAGTCCCATCCCTTTTTCGATTTTTATTGTTATCACTGCTCAAATCCAATTCTTTCAAAAGCATAAATCTTCCAATATTATGTAGCACTATGGACATATAGTTCAAGTTGAGCGTCATTATACTACATTCATCCTTAAATTATCATGTTGGTTACAAGTTACAACAATTGCTGTGCTTCAATCTCAAACAAGTTAGAATCAACTAGACGAATCCTCACAGACCACGTAGTTGCATTTAAGCTCATCTCGCACAAATATTATACAAACAATAATTACTTTGCCTATGTGAACTCCCTCACATTGCCGGTCTCAAGTCCAGACAAGGAGGAGAGTTGCAATAGAATGACAGTCATCGTAATACTACTCAATTTATGATAAATATTCATAATAGAAAACTATCATGTTGGGTACCATTGGTAATTTATGAAATGATGATAATGATAATGATGTAGACAATATTTGAGAATTCGCGAATTCGAGTTAACATTAAGGCTTCAAACTAACTCAAATCCGAAACTACAATAACTAATTTCACTCTTTTACAGACATATGTTTAGTCAAAACTTGATCTACATTGATCAAAAGAAAAGGTACATCAAGACATTATCTGACCATTCAACTCTTTCGGCATGCCAAGGCTAAGAAAATTTTCAATCTGTACTTTGTTTTTGGGGTACATCGGACAAACTGTCTATCGAAAACAGCCTCTCTACTCCTCCGGGGTAGAGGTAAGGTCTGCGTACACACTACCGATAATCCTGTTCTTTCATAAGTAACATAGTTTACATTTGCCAGATTAGATGGTTGATGCATACAACTTACAGATTATCCACAAATGACTAGCTGGTCAATTTGAAGCTACTGTTGAGAGACACATTAGGAGGCTTACATCCATTGCCTTACTCCTTTTTCATACTTGAGGTAGGAAATGCAAGGAAGTCCCAGGATTTTTTTCTTTTAGAAACACCCATCTATCATGATCGATAGTTTGGTTCAACAAGGGTGATTGATGGACACAACAGCAAATGAGGCACAGAGCAGGCATAGAGACACAAGGATAGGTGACCACAACAAGGTAAAACATATGACAAGGAATGACATTTACAACGGATACACTTATCGACAAAGCAATACACCCTGAGGTAGAGGACCGACTGTACTCATGGATGAGGCTGGTGAACTTCCTTGTTTATAATCCATATCCAAAAATAAGTGTTTATACTCTTTATTTTTGTTTCACGAACAATACTAACTTGAGGATCGAAGGTTTTCGACTCCTTCAAATCAATTTGCTGAAATAATCTTCTTTTTTTGGTACTCTTCTTGTGAGGGATGGGGTCTAGAATTCACACTTAAAGCACCAATTTCCAAAAGGAGCTTTAAAAGCAGAAGTACGTTCAACACTGTTCAGATACATGCTAATCTATACCTTATCTGTTCAGGCGAACCAAGATAAGCTCAGCCTAAACCTGTTCTGACAGTAGCTTGAATCCATATGGGAGAAACTAAAACTGACGCCGTATATTTATTTTTTGATAAAGAAAACTAACGTCATTTATTGGGAATGAAACAAAACTGAAAGACATCCTCACCTCTCAGGATATGCTTCAATTGCATATCCTCATCGTGATTGCAGCAAAGGAATGTAAGAAAAACAGCGTCAGCGGTAGAAAGATCCCACCGGCAGCAAAAGAGGAAGTCACTCCTCCCAATCCCAACATAAAGTAGTTGACAAAAGAAGGCCTGAGCCTTCAGTATGTCCCAAGGAACATATTATGCAAATGCACCACAAAAGTACAACAATGTAGCTTCGGTTTTGAGACTTCTTAGGCCTCATTTGTTTTTATTAAGATTAAGACGTTTGAATCTGAATACACATATGAATATCAAGATGTTTATTAAGATCAAGACATCTGAATCTGAATACACATCTGAATATCAAGATGTGTATTAAGATCAAGACATCTGAATCTGAATACACATCTGAATATATTAAGAAGTGTATTAAAATCTGAATACAAAATAATCATCTGAATGTATAAAATTTATCCTTATTTGAAAATTAATAAATATAAAATTCAAATTAAATACTAGCTAATTTAATATTCTATCAATAAAATATATAGTTTTTAAAATATGATAGTTGTTCGTGGTGATGGCTAACGGGTGAATGCCGACTAGAGGTGGTGGTTGGTGGTAGTTTTGGTTGATGATGGTGGTTCATGCTAGTAGCTAGTAGTGATTGGTAGTGGTGGTGATTATGATTGAGGATGGTGGTGGTGGGTGGTGATAGTCAATAATGGCGGGTGGTAGTAGTAGTTGTGATTGAGGAAGGTGGTACTAGTTGTGATTGAGGAAGGTGGTGGGTGGGTGGTAGTAGGTTATAATGATAGGCAGTGCCAGTTGTGGTTGTTGATGGTGATAGGGTGGTTAGTTGTGGTAGTTGAGGTGGATGAGTGTTGATTGTGGGTGAGAATGATAGTGGTCGGAGTGGTGGGGATGGTGGGTGGTGATGGTCGATGATGGTGGCGGCTATGATTGAGGATGATGGTGGCAGTTGATAATGGTAGGCGGTGGCGGCAGTTAATAATGAAAATGTGATAGCATCTTAATGAAATTAAGTCTTTGCTATAGATCTTAATCATACAGACCTATTCAGATCCATTAAGTGGTTGTGAAGTAAAAAAAATACACACTTAATGATTAAGATCTGGATAATTAAGATTCAGACTTTGAAAACAAATGCCCTTAATGTGTGAGATCTGAATGATTAAGATTCAGACATCCATTAAGTGCAAACAAATGAGGCCTAGGTTTAGCAGCTTTTGCAATCTTCTCTTTTATTCAAACTGTAATCTTGAACTGACCTCTCTTATTGGAAAAGACAAAGGACAGAATTTATATGCATCTTGGGTCTTGTCCAATGTTTAATAAGTAATTTGACCACAAACAAATTCAGTCAATCAACTCCAATATGCATGACGCATTTATACACATCTCGGCTCTGGCCCACTGTTTAAGAAGTAATTTCAATATGAACAAAATTCAATCAATCAACTTCAATATGCACGAGGCATCTCTACAAGGTTGTCGCATGGAAGCCTTCGGTTTTTTTAAGCAAGCTTGTCATATTTGAAGTCTCAAATAAGCATATTTGACACACAAACACCAAATTCTTGTTTAGTTTTCAATTGATTTGGTTTCTCTTAAGTAAGATAAGTGTAAGTGCTAGTCAAATTTAATAAGCATAAAACGATAATCTTTGAGGGAGGAAGTAAAATCATTTATAAGCTCATGGGTGAAGTTACATCAACATAAATTTTCTGCTTCAACAGTGAGTTTAATAATCAGAAGCAAGATATACTTGTAAAGGAACAACGTAATTAAATATGAATTATGTCAAAGAGATCTGAAAGAATAATGCGTACAAGGAGAGAATGAGATAGGATCGCTTTAGCATGGATAGCCAAGAAGGCTTAGCTCTCTGTTTTTCCAGCATTAGCTTCCGACAGCAAAGGTTCAAGTTCTCCTTTCCGATACAGCTTAATAGTATCTGTACCCAAAAAAAAAAACAGTAATCCAACTACTCCGACAAGTTTTTCATATTCCAATAATTATGATATGTTATTCAATCTTTCAACAGTAATTGGAGTTAATTGCAATATTGCAAAGAATGTCTAGAGATTTGAACTGAAAAAGGTACTCTAGTGTTCATCAACTATAAAGCTTTTTCTTCATTAATTCAGCACAATTTTTGTAGGTAGGACATACACTACCAACCACTCATTTTTGAAAGTAGTGCACAAGAGCCTGTTGCTAACACTCTACAAACATTCTGGGAAGGTACTTAAAAACTAGAGTTTTTCACAAGGCTGACAATGTTGTAATAGGTTATAAACTTGATAATCAAGTCAAATCATTATTTTCAAGGAAAAAACACAGAATAGCAATACTTTGTTTCTGCAAATCTATGGTGAAAGCATAAGACTGATCAGAGAATGTACCTGTACAACCACCAATGTGTTTGGCCCCTGGTCATAGAGAAAAACACATTTATTACAAGTCCTTCACATAAGCCACGCAATAAAAATCAGCAGCAAGTGCCAAAACAGGCACTCTCTTCATTAAGAGGCAGTAGCATACTGTTAAACTATTCAAGCAGTTGTCTCAATTTTCTTTTTTTGGCTTTGTAAATTTAAAGGAGTTCTTTACATTTTCATCATGATATTAAACCAAGGTCTATAAACTGTCTTGTCATACATATTGCCCCTCAAAGATGAAATATTTCCAAATACTGATGGTGCTCTCCACGAAGACGGCTATTACTTCTGAAAATTTCACACATAAAGAAGTTTGTGTTCATTATTGAAGCAAATTATCAGCTTATTACGTTTAGAATTATATACCCAGGAAGCTCCCGCAAAAGAAATAGATAAGCTCCAAGAGCCTACTGTCATATTCCAAAAACTTATAAAGGTCAACAACTCTAGAATACGACATTTCGTACCAATGAATACATTGGGAACCGTATGCTGTCCAGTAAGCCTTTCCAGCACTTTCTGCAGCTGTGGTCCTTGGGGACCTGAAACCACAAATTTAGAGATAGCATCAACTAATTGGGAAAAAGTATACATTTGTATATGACTAGAGCATGGAATGCGACAGTTGAAACTTAGATAACCTTAGTTAATGGGAAATAGTTTCAAGTGCAGATAATCAAAATGAACTAATAAGACTTGTTGTGAACTGTGCACACACTTTTCCCAAATTTTTGAGATTTCCCTTCTTCTTTTGGGTAGTCTGTGGTAGTAGAAGAATATACAAAGGCCAGCACGTATTTATGGTTAAATAACAATATGAGAAACAACACAATTTCTGAACTTCTCCTCTTTGTTCAATGAGAGTTCTACTTGAAACACAAGGTTGTGTGTTGCTACCTTCATCAGCGGATAACAATGTAGCACCACCATCTGCTTGTATTTTTGGACATGGTGAAATGAGCCATGCATTAAAAGATACATATTCATGTAAATTACATACAACCACTTCCAGCTGAACTTTGTCAAATTCCCCGAATAGAGTTGTAGTGGAATGGCATTTACTTGCATGTGGTGTTTCTGAAGAATTTGCACGCGTCATAACCAAAACTAAAGGAATACTGGTAACAAGGGAACTTCAAGCTTTCATTATTGACCACCATCAAGCCAACTAAATGGACACCACACAAAATTTTGATCGATATACCCATGAGGTTCTAAGCACAAGCTACCCCTTTTTTTCCTTCATAAAGTGACTAGGATTCAATTCTCAAGTTGAAGTCCCTTTTACTTCTCTCTTCAAAGTGTAGGCACCGGTCTTAGCAGACGTCCTATTCAGGCCCTAGGTAAAAAACTAATAGTCTAGACCAATGTGAACGCAGGCTCAGCTCCCGTCTACTCATAGACCTTTGGCCACCAATGTTTCTCATTCATGAAGTTAAAACAGCAATATGAGCTAGCATTACTTTACTAAGCATCTAATTCCATAATAAGAATTGTCATCTAGCTCAAGATCTCAAATAATTGTTTCGAATACCCAGAAACTACCACTAACTCAACCAACAAGCATTTTGGCCAAAACCTTGTTGTACAAGGGAAATTCTTGTCAACTGGATTGCATAACTTTGTAAAACAAACAGTCTGCAACCACCATTCCTCTTGTTTGACAACATCAATTTTGCAGATTAGCAGTTAGCCTACTTAATATTAACTGACTTTATTATTTATGAGTAACTTAAACTCAGGTATTCGACTGTATTTGATGTAACCAAAATAAACCATGCTAGTAGAGTATTTACAATTATCATCTCAAATATTCCATTTGTATATTACATTCAACTCATTAATCATCTTAGATTCAAAGTCATATTTATAAGCCTTACTATTGGATTCACAACAATCATACTAAGATCGTGTACATAATACACTTAAAAGATTACCTTCTCAATTCAACAACAACAGACCTAGTGGAATTCCATAAGTGGGATCTGGGGAGGGTAGTGCGTACGCATACCTTACCCCTACCTTCAAGAAGGCAAAGAGGCTGTTTTCGGAAGACCCTCGGCTTAGGAAAAGATTACCTTCTCAATTCACACTAAGAAAAAATACGCCTATAGACATAATTCCCACACAAAGTAAACATTTCTTTTGGAGTCAAATCACGAAAATTGATTGCATGAAGCTCGGAAAGAAGATGATCCTAAGTAGGATTCAAACTATATGCACTAACAGTTTAATGAATTTTTTACACCATTAATGTAATTTTACCTGTTAAGGTTACTTTCCATTTATTAAAGAATCAATCAATCAATTATTTAAAGTTACTTGAAATTATTTGTATAGTTACCGTAACTGCACAGGACTTAAACTCTGTTAAGTAAATTAGTAAAAGTTGTTAACTTTGGAAGAAACTTACCCATTTCATCCAATTCAATAACAAGTGGATCTACTCCAAGTTTTTTGAACAAAGCTTTCACCTCCATTGAGTACCTTTTTACAACAAAAAATCAAGAACCCTACTTCAAAATAAGCTCAAATAAAGCGGACAATTAGGCATAAAAATTCCATTTTTACCTAAAATATTATACGAGTACTAAAATTCAACAACTTACGAACACCAAGTTTTGGAGTAAACAACAACTGGGTTTTCAGTAATGGTCTTTTTCACACTCTCCTCCAATCGGGACCCGAATGAACCCGACATCGCCCGAATCTGGACCCGACCCATTTTCCGAGGTCCATTGTTTTCAATTCTGGACGCAAATTTGTGAATTGGAACGCTGTAGTTGTAACTGGGAATGCGCTGGAACTGTGAGAGAATTTGAGTGTGAATTCGAGGGTGAAGCGAATGAGAAATAGAGTAAGTGCTGAAGCTTTTCGTTAGGTTTGAAGTCCCTGCCATTTTTTTTTGTAGGAAACTCTGTTCAGTTCAGTTCTTTTATTATTCTATCTAGTTGCTAAATTCACGAGAGTTCAGTTTTTGTCACTTCTTTTGAAGTGCTTAAGGTTTTACACGTAATGTCTTGTACTTTATTAATGGCAAGAATATATTTCTGGGGGTCGTTTGGTTTGTATAAGGTCTATGTTTGAGATAAGTTAGGTTGAGATTAGTTATCTTGGTATTATTTTTTATTCATTATTTGGTATGATATATTAAAAATGATAATTGCATAATTTTTAAGAAGAAGATGTAAGTTATCCCGGCACTAATTACCCCACCCCCTATAATGTATAAGTTATTCTAGTACTAATTTTAATTCCGGAATAACTTATACCAGGTTTACTAACCAAACAAAATATTAAGGTGATATTAAATTTTTATATCAGTACTATATTTACTTATACCCATACCAAACGACCCCTTACAGTTTAACTCTATTGGATCTAATCTGATAGTACAAACGTGGATTAAATGTTTTGAGAAAACAAATTGTATGGGTCCTTTGGATTGGAAGTTACTTATTAACCTTTTTTTGGCGACATTAGGCAGTCTTTCATTTACGTTAGAAATAATAAAGTATAACTTTCCTCGAAAGATAAGGAGCTAAAAGTTGTAGAAATGAATCACATAATTATTCTAAGGGGCTGTTATTTATGAATCAGTTATTATGTCTGAATTTCTATATTTCAATTTAAGTTTTTGGAACACAAATGTCTTGGATTGTCTTAAAAATAAAAATTTAGTTTAAATATTCAAGAGAAAATAAGTACTGACTAATTCCTAAATATCAGCTCTAAAAATGCACTTTTCCCCTAAATGTTGGAAGGAGCTCTTCTCCACAAAGGACTTGTATAGTTCAATAGTGTAATTTATGAATGTCATGTATCCATGTTAATAAATAAATTACCGACTAGATAAAAAGAATAGCTTTATTTTGAAAATCTTAGTAGCCTAATTGGTTGCCAACCAAAATTTTACACTTGTTAAGGATTCGATTCCCCACCGTGTAAACTTTACACTTCATCTAGTATGTATAAAGCAATTAACTGCACCACAGTCACCCTCATTCCTAAGGTACAACACCCTTTGTCCGTGAAAGAGTATAGATATATTTCCTGTTGTACAATGCTTTATAAGTTAATATCTAAAGTGTTAACCAAAAGATTGCAAAGAGTGATTGATAGTCTGGTAGATAGTGGACAAACAGCTTTTGTTCCAGGGAGACTGATAACTGATAATATCCTATTGAACCATGAGTTGGTAAAGGGGTTATGGTAGGAAAGGCATCTCCCCTAGGTGCATGCTGAAGATAGACATGCAAAATGCTTACGACTCTGTTGAATGGCCTTTCTTGGAACAGGTGTTGGTGAGCCTTAATTTTCCTTCTACTTTTGTGGGTTGGATTATATCTTGTGTTAACACAATATCCTACTCATAAATGGGAATCCAACAAAGCCTTTTGAAGCAAAGAAGAGGTTAAGACAAGAGGATCCATTATCTTCCTTTTTGTTTGGACTAGTAATGGAGTACCTCAACAGATTGTTAAAAGAGCTAGGAAAGAATCCAAACTTTAATTTCCATCCCAAATGTGCTAAGTTACAACTAATTCAGTTGGGGTTTGCGGATGACTTATTTCTCTTTTGCAGGGGAGATATTTCCATTTCACATTCTGCTTCAACTTTGTATCTGATGAGTTTGTTATAGAAAACAGAAGGAAAATTTTGAAATATGCTGATTATAATATAGCTTTTTAAGGATAAAAAATGAAACAATTAGCAAACACAAATCCCTAAATATAAGTTCGATCTGGAGAGAAGAAGGGAGAGAGGAGAGAAAAAAAGAAAAGGGTATAACTAAATCCCTTGGTTGAAGGCACTAATAATGGACTGAGAGCCTTTTAAGATGGATTGTATATATTTTATAGCTAAAACCTGTTTAGGTCGACTAGATACAAAAACTTGAATATTTTTCGTAATAAGGTTTCAAATAGTGTATAAGAACGAAAAAATTTCCAAATTTAATGGGCACCTTTTTGGCCCAAAATTAGGGAAAGTGCACAGTTAGCCACTAATTAGAGATGCCTTTGCTCTTTAGCCACTGTTTAAAATGTATTTACTCTTTAATCAATGCTTAATAAATTTTTACCTGTTCGGACAAAAATACCTGTAACGATTCGGCCGGTCGTTTCATGAGTTACCGCTCCGTTTTCTCCATTTCTGCTTCATATTACCTTGTTCACCAGTATTATGTATTATCAGGTTGGTTGGCTCTGGTTCGGAGAGGTTTTGGTAAGGTTTGAGACACTTAGTCTCTTTTGAGTAAGCTTAAGTTAGAAAAATCAACCGGATGTTGACTTATATGAAAAAGGGCTCGGATGTGAGTTCTGATGGTTCGGATAGCTTGGGGAAGTGATTTGGGACTTAGGAGCGTGATCGGAATGTGTTTTGGAGGTACGGAGTAGATTTAGGCTTGAATTGGCGATATTGGAATTTTGGCGTTTTCCGGTTGGTAGGTGAGATTTTGATATAGAGGTCGGAATGGAATTTCGGGAGTCACAGTAGGTACGTTGTGTAATTTGGGATGTGTGTGCAAAATTTCAGGTTATTCGGACGTGGTTTGATAGACTTTTTGATCGAGAGCGAAATTTGGGAGTTTTTGGAATTCTTAGGCTTGAATCCGATGCAAATTTGGTGTTTTGATGTTGTTTTGAGCGTTCCGAAGGTTGGAAAGTTTGAATGATGTTATGGGATAGGTTGACATGTTTGGTTGAGGTCCCGAGGGCCTCAGGTGAGTTTCGGATGGTTGAACGGATCATTTCAAGTTGAAAAAGATTGCAGAAAATTTGTTGTAAGTGTTGCAGAATTTTGGCCTTCGCGTTAGCGAGTGGGCCCTCGCATTCGCGAAGGGTTAGGATGAGAGGCAGGAGGTTTGGCCTTCGTGTTCGCGATGGAGTCCTGCGTTCGCGAAGGGGTGTAGTCAGTGAGCTTCGCGTTCACGATGGGTTGTGAAGTTGAGTCTTCGCGTACAGGGCGTCACGTTTGCGTAGAAGGAATAAGTTGTCAACGCCAGGTTGTGCTTCGCGAACGTGAGGCATTGACTGCGTTCGCGAAGAAGAGGTTTTAAGTACTGGGCAGAATGTTTTAAAAGACCAATTCCGCGATTTTTAGCCTAAGTTTCACCATTTTTGGGCGATTTTTAGAGCTTTTTGAAGAGGATTGAAGAGGGAATCAAGGGAGAACACTTGGAGGTAAGATTTATGGACTTGATACTCAATCCTAATGTGATTTATACCTAATTAATCATGGAATTTGTAGAATTTAAGCCTAAATATTGAAGAAACTAGTGAATGTAATTTGAGACCTAAAATTTGGGATTTGAGGGGTCATTTGTGGTTGGATTTTGGTACTTTCGATATGAATGAACTCGGGGAGTGATAAAGAGTCTACTGATGTAATTTTTATCGAATTCCGAGACGTGGGCCCGGGGGTCGGGTTTGGCCAATTTCGGGATTTGTGTTGTAATTTGATTACTTTCAAGTGGGCTTTATTCCCTTAGCATATTTTGATGGTTATGCACTAATTTTGGTTAGATTTGGAGCATCCGGAGGCCGATTCGAGAGGCAAAGGCATCGCGAGCTAGAGGACCGGATAGAGGTGAGTAATGATTGTAAATGTTGTCCTGAGGGTATGAAACCCTGAATTTCACATCGTTATACTATTTTGAGGTGACGCACACGCTAGATAACGAGCGTGAGATCGTGCACTGTTGGGGATTGTGACTTAGACTGTCCCGAATAACTGTTTTACTGCGTATTTGATTGAAAACTGTTTGCTATCATCATGTTTTGAGTTGATGCCATATTTGGGCCTCGTGCCAACTGTTTTGGACCCTTAGGGGATTTTTACTACTATTCCCCACTGTTTTGACTTTATACTTGTACATAGTCATGTTATATTCTACTATTTTCATAACTCAGCCATGTTTACTCTGTTTTGACATCTTAAATGATATTTTGAGCTGAGCATCATATTTTACTGTGCCCGAGTGGCTTTTAGAGATTTCTGACTAAGTACCGCCGAGGGCCTGTGTTGTGAGGTTATTATGGGATCAGGCTGCGCACCGCAGCGGTATTGAGTTGATTCGTGATTATGAGGCTGATAGCCTGAGTTGTACGACACAAGGTGGCTTGATATGAGGCCAAGAGCCTATATGATTATGCCACGAGATGACTTGTTGTTGCGCTTGGGCCGTAAGGGGCTCCTCCCGGAGTCTGTACACCCCTAGTGAGCGCGGGTACCCAGTTTGCAATATGATATAGCTCGAGGGGCTGATGTTGTTTCATGTTATTGCCCGAGGGGCTGATACGAGTGATTGTGAGATAGCCTGAGGGCTGATTCTGTTGGTCTTTTGCCCGATGGGCTAATTTTATGTGTCTATATTTTCTCATTGATTTTCTTTTACTCGTTTAACTGATAAAAGATGTTTTAAAGAGGTTTATACTGAACTAAGGTGTTTTGTACAAGTTTTCACTGTTTTATTGCATTGTATTGATTTTATACTGCCTCTTTGTAACATGTTGTTGTGTTTTACATTTTTTCTTATCGCTCAGTTGCCTTTACTTTTATTACTCACTGAGTTAGCGTACTCACATTACTCCCTGCACCTTATCTGCAGATTCAGGAGCCTCAGGTCCTACTAGCGAGGGTTGATTGCTTTCAGCGGCTTGTTCGGAGTTCACTAGGTAGCTGCTCGGCGTTCGCAGCCCACTGTTCCTCCTTCCTATCTTTATTTTCATTTGTAGTAAACTTTGTAGACTTTTCCTATTCTCATACGGATGTTTTAGATGCTTATGACTGGTGACACCCCGATGTCGGGCTGTGTTGTTTCCGCAAATTGTTCTATTTCACTCTTATTTTGGGATTTATAGCATATTAATGACTCAAATCAAATTATTATAACTGTTAAATTGCTATTGGGGGTTTGTGCTGGCTTGCCTTGTTTCACGATAGGTGCCATCACGACCGGGTCCGGGTTTAGGGTCG